TAAGATATGTCTACCAATGAGCATCATTATCATCATGCTTTTTAGTCCCTTCTTTTTAATTCATCATCAAGGTTTATAAAGTCATGTTTATAAATTTTGAAGTAAAATTCAAATGAATCAATTCTGCATTTTGTTTTCTACTTTGTAACAATAAAAACTCAAATCTAAATTATTTAGTTAACTTTTAGGCGAATTAGTCAATGGCAAAATAGAATATTATTTATTTAAGTACCAGATAAAACTACAGAAAAATAATGCTTAAAGGTGCTTTAATTTGTCCATGAATTCTGACCAAAACTCCTTTTGCTTACAAAGCTTGTCAAGAGTTCTACTATTGTTTTGAATTTTGATATATGATGTACTAAAACGTAAATAAAAAAAACATTTAGAATTGTTTTATGGCAATTAATTTTGGTTCAAAAGAATAATTAATGCTTTGATTAGCATGAATGTATGACCATCAGTTTACATGTACTGAATAAGACTAAATAAACTGAAGTATAATTAAAGAAATGAATTTTTTTTTATTGTAAATGTAAATGTTAATTTTTTTATTACCATTAGGAATGACTATTTTGAATTCTATTTAATTTCAGATCACAAAAAAAAAAAAAAAGTTAAAAACATTCTAAATCCCAAGGTAATTATTATAAGGAAAATTACTTTATGTCAAAATTTTAAGTAGAGTTAAAAACCGTAAAACAAGATGATAAAACCACAATTTATTATCTTTGACAAGCAATAAATGAAATGCTGACAAATTGGTTTCAAAGTTTCAACGCGTTTCTATAAGAATTCAATTTCGTGCAGCTAATCAGGAGATAATTATCATAATTAAATTTAATCGTTACTTTAGTAACACTAATAAAATACTCCAAAAAATAATAATCGAAAACGAATTAATTATAATTTTTAATAAAGAATTACTGCTTCCTCCCACTTCCCATCTTTCCTTCCTTTTGTGTTCTTCTTCTTCTCCTCCTTCGCTTTGTTGCCCCAATCTCTCTCTCTCTCTCAAGAAAAATAAAAGATCTAACTTTGACGGCTCTCTTAATCTTCCTCACTCCGTAAGTTCCAAATCTCTCTCCTTTTTCTCATATCGATATCGTCCGAACAAAACCCAGGAGAATTGCTTCAGCCCTTTTTTGGTTTTTATCATCTTCTCAGATTCTCAGTTTCTGTTTCCGTTTATAAGGTTCTGGGTTCAGTTTCTGTTTTGGTCTTATTGAATTTGCTTATTCATTTTGTTACGGAGTTGTTTTCGTCGCTTGAATCCCGTATGGTCACATGGTAGCTGAAGTTGTTAATTCTGATGTGTTTTGCGTTTTCTTCTTTTGCAGTTTAGTTATGATCTGATACTGGGTTCTTCTCGCTTCATCTATTTTGGTTTGTTATAGGGTTTAAAGTCGGAATATAGACTGATGGATTCGTGAGAGCTTGATGGTTATTGTTAGAATCTCAGATGTGGATTTAAGCCTTCACTGAACTAACGAGTCTATGGAAGAAGCAAAAATCCTTGGTATACAGTATCTGTTGTGAGGAATCTGGGGGATAAAAGTGAAGTCTTTGCGTGTGTAATCTTGAGATAAGATTGGATGGTGGGAAGAGAAGATGCGATGGGGAATGATGAGGTTCCTCCTGGTTCTAAGAAAATGTTTTGGCGGTCTGCCTCTTGGTCTGCTTCACGGACTGCATCACAAGTTCCTGAAGGTGAGGAGCAAAGTCTGAACATTCCGTGTGCAAATAGTTCTGGGCCGAGCCGAAGATGCCCAGCTGCTCCTTTAACACCTCGGTCGCATCATAACAGCAAGGCTAGAGCTTGTTTGCCACCATTGCAGCCTCTTTCCATTTCTAGGAGGAGCTTAGATGAGTGGCCTAAGGCGGGCTCCGATGATGTCGGTGAGTGGCCTCATCCACCAACACCTAGCGGGAACAAAACCGGGGAGAGATTGAAGCTCGATTTATCATCAACGCAGCAGCAGGTCTCAGATAAGAGCTCTGGTCTTGCTAAGAGGGAGAAGATTGCTTACTTTGATAAAGAATGTTCAAAGGTTGCTGATCATATATATGTGGGTGGAGATGCTGTGGCGAAAGACAAGAGCATATTGAAAAACAATGGAATCACTCATATCCTAAACTGCGTTGGTTTTATCTGTCCGGAATATTTCAAGTCTGATTTTTGTTACAGATCCTTGTGGTTACAGGATAGTCCGTCAGAGGATATAACTAGTATTCTGTACGATGTGTTTGACTACTTTGAAGATGTAAGGGAGCAAAGTGGAAGGATCTTTGTTCATTGTTGTCAAGGGGTTTCACGATCTACCTCGTTGGTAATAGCATATCTGATGTGGAGAGAAGGACAAAGTTTTGATGATGCATTTCAGTATGTGAAGTCTGCTAGAGGTATTACTGATCCTAACATGGGCTTTGCTTGCCAATTGTTACAATGCCAAAAGAGGGTTCATGCGTTCCCCCTTAGCCCTACTTCCTTGCTTAGAATGTACAAAATGTCTCCACACTCTCCTTATGATCCTTTGCATCTTGTTCCAAAACTGTTGAATGATCCATGCCCGTCTTCTCTGGATTCAAGAGGTGCATTTATCATTCAGTTACCTTCTGCAATTTACATTTGGGTTGGTAGGCAGTGTGAAACCATCATGGAAAAAGATGCAAAAGCTGCTGTTTGTCAGATTGCTCGATATGAGAAAGTCGAAGCACCTATTATGGTGGTCAGAGAAGGTGATGAGCCTGCTTATTACTGGGACGCTTTTGCAAGCATTTTGCCTATGATTGGGGGCTCGGTAATTAAAGTTCAACCAGGTGACAGGAAGGTCGATGCATATAATCTGGATTTTGAGATTTTCCAGAAAGCCATCGAGGGAGGTTTTGTGCCAACTTTAGCATCATCCAACAACGAACATGAGACTCATCTTCCTGCAAGGGAAAACAGTTGGAGCTCACTGAAATGTAAGTTTGCATCAAGGTTTGAGAAGGGTTTTCGGTATGTCTCCAAAACGCCACTATCTAGGGTCTATTCTGATTCGATGCTGATCGTGCATTCATCAGGCTCACCTTCCTCTACAACTTCTTCATCATCCACTGCGTCACCTCCTTTTCTTTCTCCTGATTCGGTATGTTCAACAAATTCAGGCAATAGCTTAAAGAGTTTCTCACAATCCTCTGGGCGCTCGTCCTTGAGACCTTCTATTCCACCATCGTTGACGTTGCCCAAATTTTCCAGCCTATCTCTCCTCCCTTCCCAAACTTCTCCTAAAGAATCTCATGGTGTCAATAATTTTCCACAGCCTTACATTGAACCGTCACCAAATAGAAAGGCTTCACCTTCTCTTGCAGAGCGTAGAGGCAGTCTCAAAGGATCTCTAAAGTTGCCAGGTTTGGCTGATTCCAACAGAGGCACACCTGCTTTTACTTTACATCCGGATGATAGTAATGACATAGTCTTTAACTTGGAGGGTATTAGAAATGGCGATCTAAATCCACCAAGTGATTGCAAGGGGACAAGTGTAGATTCAGATTTGGCACAGAAGGAAATTATATCCTTAATCAGTTGCAGTAAATCTGACAGACACAAATCGGCAGGTGATAACTCGGGCCAGCCTTTAGCATGTCGGTGGCCAAGTATGGAGATGATTACAAAACTGAGTAGAGCTTACTTAGATTCAGAATCTGTTATAGCAATCCCGTTGCCAAGTGATGCCGTAGGAGAAACGGGTAGTAGGATTTTGTACATTTGGATAGGAAAGTCATTCTCTTTGGATAACAACTGTTCTCTAATAGATAGCAACAAAGCGGCGGACACTGTGGAGAATGTTGATTGGGTACAGATTGGTGAATCCATTTTGTCTCAGATGGACTTGCCAAAAGATACCCCTATAAAGGTAATAGCCAAAACTTGGGATACTCTGATACTTTCTACTTGTTTTAAAGTCTGCGTGCTCATCTTTGTCATGTCTTATCCAACCAAACTACATTCGAAGGTGAAAATTACAATCTCAGCACTTTCATTACTGAGGATGGTTAGGTAGATTCCTTATGATTTCAGCAGTTGTGTGTACTGGTTTATTCTCTAGTGTTTGCATGGTTCTAAGTTCCAGCTTGTTATGATCCTTTTCTCGTATGTAACTGATAAGTTACTTCTCTTTTTGTTCACAGATAGTTAGGGAAGCTGAGGATCAGACAGAGTTTCTTGCACTGCTGAGTGCGCTATAGCACCCACCCGCAAGCTCTACACATTTACTCTGTTTTTTCGTTTTTGTTTTTTCACAGATTCCTTCAACCGCAACACTTTTCCATTTCCAGACAGAGTATTCATAAAGCTCAGGTGAGAAATTTCAACAATTCCCAATACAACCCATTTTGATTGTTAGTTCTGGATTACGTTTTTTGCTATCTGATCATGGATTTGAGTAGAGGATGGTTGGAACAAAAAAGCTTAAAAGCTGGAATGACCAGTTTACCAAATTCTCATAAACTATGTTTGATTCTTTTGATTTACCTCTGATGCAGGGATTTAGCTCTCTGTGCTTATGGAAGTTGATGTTGGGGGAAACAACTCTCTTTGTACAGTGAGAAAAAAAAAACTACTTCTATCACATAAAATCCTCAAGGGCCATTATTAGCATGATGAGATTATAAAGTTGTAAGATTAGGGCTTCATGAGGATTTTAATGGACTTGTTACAATGTTTACATATACACCCAGTACAAAAGATTTTTGTTAAACTTACTTCACGTTATCTAATGATTCATGTGACATGTTTTTACTCAAAACTCATAAACCAACATTCTAATCACGATTTGGACTTTGGTCACCAACACAAGCATCAACTATCCATTCTGGTTTTCAATTCAGTTTCTTTTTATATTCCCACGAAACATAATGTTGCGTTCTATATATAATTAATGATGATGCATTGAAAAGTAAAGCACTATATAATCAAATCTAATAGATTGTTCAGCGTGAAATTATCAGATTCCAATTGGGCTTGTAATCAGTTGACAGAGAAAGCCCAATTATATATTTAAGGCCCAAAAGTAATCGATCTAGGGTTTAGTTACGCTTTTGTTTCATTTTCACATCCCTTAGAATAAATAAAAACCAGCAGCAACTTGAAGCTGTTCTAGGGTTTCTGTTTCGCCGCTCAGGTTCGTCCGTCTCTCGATCTCCTTTCTCTTACTTCTTCACAGCTTTCTTCGTTTTCTGGGTATCGAATGATGTTGTTAACTGTTTCTTAATACAATTAATTTTGCGCCATTTTCTCCTTCTCCGGGAAAATTTGTGTATTTCTTTACGTTGTTGATTGATTTGAACCTCTTTGTTTTTGTTAATTGCTATCTCTTTAATTACTGATTTGCTTTTCTGGGTTTAGCAGGTTTTGTGAAAAGAATCTATCTTGAGTAATGTCTCCAGCTAAAGGTGCGGCCTTTGTTTTTTCATTTGTTATATGATTTGATTCTACATCGTCTTCTAGTTTTCTATTTCTCTTTTGCGTGTGATTACTATTTGTTTACCAATATTCAGTACTGTGGCTGAACTTACTACTGTACCATCTTTCTGAAATGTATGATTTCATGCCTTGCTCTGTTTATGTCGTATTTTGACCTTCTCTTACCCGTGCCTACTCTCTTATGGATTCATCTGATTATGTGCTTGTTTGTCCTTGATTTGCCAAGGATCATAATTTTCTTATATGAGTTGTTTTTTTTTTGAGTCTGAGCTTGTTAAATGCGAAAATGTATATGCATCTTTGAATGAGTTTTTGTTACCAGCAGTATCTTCGTGGCAATGTTTAATTTCTCTCACGTGAATTCAGTTTCTCAAAACTTTCTTAATTGGTTCAAGGTTCCATTGTTTTTGCAGTTGATGTCACCAAGAAAACCGACCCTAAGGCTAAGGCTTTGAAAGCTGCGAAAGCAGTGAAATCTGGCCAAATCCTTAAAAAGCCTGCTAAGAAGATCAGGACAAAGGTGACTTTCCACAGGCCAAAGACATTGACCCTTCAGAGGAATCCTAAGTATCCAAGGATCAGTGCTACTCCAAGGAACAAATTGGATCACTACCAGATCCTCAAGTACCCTCTCACTACCGAGTCTGCCATGAAGAAGATCGAAGACAACAACACCTTAGTCTTCATTGTTGACATCCGTGCTGACAAGAAGAAGATCAAAGATGCTGTCAAGAAGATGTACGACATTCAGACCAAGAAAGTTAACACCCTCATTAGGTAAACACTTCAGAAAACACAAAAACCTCACTGAGAGATGATGGGTTTATATGTATAATATAAACATGAAATGATGAATGTATGTTTGTTTGCAGGCCTGATGGAACGAAGAAGGCGTATGTGAGGTTGACTCCTGATTACGATGCTTTGGATGTGGCTAACAAAATCGGGATCATCTAAATTTAATCATCGATATCACTTTTGGGGTTGAAACAGACTTCTGGTTTTTCTCTTCCATAGTCTCAGTTTTGCTAGAGAAGTTAAGATATTACCATCACCTCTTTGTTATGCTTTATCTTTTGATTCAAAAAGATTTATATGTTTGGTATCTGTTGATGCGTCAAAGTTTCTTTTTAGATCCCGGTTTAATCTGGTTTTAATCGTTCCTAATAACCAACTCAATTCAATTGAGCCGTTGGAGAAAAGAAAAGTAATTATCAATTTATTTAAATACTTTCCAAGTATATTAAAGAGCAGTTCATTGTGGGGCCCAAAGCTCTGAATCAATAATCCAATCGATCCGCGAGAAACTCGTGGTTACAAACTCGTGGTAGTAAACTTATACTAAATGAATTATTGTTGCTTGTTGCTGGAAAAAGACAGGAAAAAATCATTTGCGTTTTTAAAAACGTCGGTATTGAACTGACAAAAAAAGAAAGAAATCGGATATCTATAATCATAAGGATAACAAATAAATAAAATCATCAAACCTAATTTGTTTCGCACTAATCAGTTAGAGACAATGGCACGTTAAATTGTCGATCTGGTAGACTGGTAATGGAGAAGGCTTTTACATGTTAATTAGGACTTAGATCCTACGGATTGGGCATAAACCGTCCTTTGTTATGGGACGTGTTCGAGTTGGTATCTCTAGAACCGCTGTCTTAGGCAGATGGATCAGATTAAATATCTTTTGACACTTCTATTTATACCTCCTTAAGTTATGTTATGTTATGTTATGGGCTTCCTCTTATCCATCGATACACAGAGAAAACAATAATATGAGCAATCATCAAACTGTGAGAGACATTTTTTCTTTTTTCTTTTTTTTTTAATCTTTGTGTTATCTTCTTTATCATATGATTCCATGGAGATTATGAACCGTTTGTTTCTCTCTTTTTAATCTGAACTTATTTGATTTTTGTTTTTTTTTTGGAGAGAAGCAGGTGTTGAAGCAATTGGAGCCATGGTGTGAGCTTAAAGACAAAGTGGTTCTTGTGACAGGAGCTTCCTCTGGTATAGGAAGAGAGATCTGTCTTGATCTTGCCAAAGCTGGTTGTAAGATTATTGCAGCAGCTCGTCGTGTCGATCGTCTCAACTCTCTCTGCTCCGAAATCAACAGCTCCAACTCAACCGGGATCCAAGCTGCAGCTTTTGAGCTAGACGTTTCATCAGATGCAGCCACCATTCAAAAAGCGGTAAGGGAAGCTTGGGACATCTTTGGAAAGATCGATGCGTTGATCAACAATGCCGGAATCAGAGGCAATGTCAAGTCGAGTTTGGATTTGTCGGAGGACGAATGGAACAAAGTCTTCAAGACCAACTTAACGGGACCTTGGTTAGTATCTAAATATGTTTGTGTTTTAATGCGTGACGCTAAACGAGGTGGCTCGGTGATAAACATCTCATCGATTGCCGGGATCCGGGGTATCTTGCCTGGTGGACTTGCATATGCTTGTTCCAAAGGCGGTGTTGACACCATGTCAAGGATGATGGCGATTGAGTTAGGTGTTCACAAGATCAGAGTGAACTCGATTGCGCCGGGGCTTTTCAAGTCAGAGATCACACAAGGTCTTATGCAAAAGGAATGGCTCAAGAATGTGACCGAGAGGACTGTGCCGTTAAAGGTGCAACAGACCGTTGATCCAGGGCTTACTTCTCTCGTTCGCTATCTCATTCATGACTCTTCTCAATATATATCCGGGAATACATACATTGTCGATTCTGGAGCTACATTGCCCGGTGTGCCCATTTTTTCATCTCTCTGAAAGTTGAACCCTGTATCTTCTGCTTGTGCAATAATAAGTGAATACATTTACACATTCTCTACTATTTTTTAAGCTTTACATACATCATCCATGTTTTTGCAACAACAAACCAGCATAGACAAATAAAGGAAAGATAAATAAACAGCCTCCAAAATGATTTACCAACCTCCTAAATTCTTCAGATTCAATAGACAAAATTGATATACTTTGGAGAACGAAGCAATGACCATGACCTACTTCTGATGCTTCGTCCCCAAAAAAGAATAAGCAGCTCGAAGACCATGGAAATCTACATCTACAGGCCCTATCTGCTAGAGAACTAACCGTGGTTGTATAGTTTTTTTTGAACATCTTGTATCCCTCCAGACTCCCGAGAATCATTGATCAGAGATGCCAAAATCACGATCATTGATGGAGCCTCAAAACTCTATATCAGTCGATGTTGTCGTAGACCTTTACCAAAATGTGGTTGCATCAAACGTACATACAATCCATTCTTTGCTGCTAAAGAATCATGTGTACCTTCCTCTACTATCCTCCCTCCATTGAGCACCACAATGTTATCCACATGTCTCATCATAGCCGCTCTATGCGCTATCAGAATTGTCGTTTTGTTCCCCATTATCAATGTGTCAAGAGCCTCCTGCACAACCCGACTCGATTCAGATTCGATAGCCGAGCTGGCTTCATCTATTAAGATAATGGGAGCATTCTTCAGCACTACCCGTGCTATTGCTATTCTCTGTTTCTGTCCCGGGGTAAGTTCTACCCCTCTCATCCCGATATGTGTGTCGTAACCGTGAGGTAAGCTGCTGATGAAATGGTGAGCATTAGCAATTCTTGCTGCTTCCTTCATCTCAGCTTCACTTGCATTATGCCTTGCATATATGATATTCTCTCTGATCGTCGTGGAAAAGATTATGGGTTCTTGCTGAACCAAACCCATGTGGCTTCTCAACCATCTCAAATTATATAACTTTAAGTCTCTCCCATCTAGTAGGACTTGACCAGCAACTGGGTCGTAGTATCTCTCTACCAGTGAGATTATTGTGCTTTTTCCAGAACCTGAAACGCCAACCACAGCTACTGTCTGTCCGCCACTGACTTTGAGACTGAAGTTGCTCAGCACTAGTACTTCGGGTCGAGTTGGGTAGCAGAAGTCTATGTTTTTCAATTCAATGCTTCCGTAGACATTAGGCGGTTTGAGAGCAGAGTTATCATCTGGTTCAATTGTAGGGACTCGATCTATGATTTCAAACACTGAAATCAGAGACTTTCGTCGCTTGAGAATATACGGTGCTAATCCAAATGGCTCGACAAGGGCGAATGTAGCAAATGAGAAAACCATGTACTCTGTTATAGCTGTTGATAACTTCATATATCCACGGTTGACAGATAATGCAGTGCACCATAGGAGGAGCGCATTGCAGGCGAAAAGAAGAAACTGTGAAAAACCAAACGCAAAACCTATAGCCATCCCATGGAGATAGCTCTGTCTGAGTATCCGCTGGAGTTGCATCCTGTACAGTTCCATCACTTTGTTACCAGCACAGAAAGCAACAACAGTGTAGATGTTTCTAACAGCATCCTCGAGGACTAAAGATGCCTTTCTATGCATCTCCTGTATGCCTTTTGAGAATCCGGCAAGCCACAGTTTCTGCAAATTCGTTTTGAGGATGATTAGAAATGTGTGCCAGCTGAATAAACAAAACATTTTTGAGCTACGTGGATTGAAAATCAAATGGCAGAGAACAAAGAGGTACACGCTAAATCACTCTACTTGAACTGGACAGGTATTGCAAAATCAGAAACACATGTGACAGAGGGGATAATGAAGACAAATTGTCTAAAATATAATAATAAATTTCAAACAATTTTCTAGAAGAAACAATGCAAACCTGAGCAATGGCAGAAAGAGTGAGAATTGGCAGAGTTGCCAATGCAACAAGGGCCAAACGCCAACCAAGCGCCAACCCGATAAGAAGAGCAACTATAACAGCAAAACTATCTTGAATAAATATTGAAAGCCTGTTGCTGAACGCAGCTCGGACAAAAGTAGCATCATTTGCTAAACGCATGGATAACGTATCTGGACTGTTCTCTTCATCATCGAACCATCCAACTTCATTACGCAGCATTGCTGTAACATCAGAGAAATTAATGAACTGAGGCAAGTAAAAGTAGTTAAAATGTGATGAAGTAAATTATAATGAATAGAAATTTCCAATACCTGAGAACATCATCCTCCGAACTCTCTCTGTCATTTTCTCCCCCATTATCCCAAAATAGAAGTGCTGCAAGAAATTGGCAACAACTGTCACAATCCCCATGCAGGCAATGATCAAACACCATTTGTCAACCTCCTCGCGCAGGTGGCCTCCTTTGCTTTTATAATATGCCGTCACTACCAACGCAATGACATAAGCCAGAAGAGGATTGAAAGAACCAAAGATGGCAGCACCGAGACTTCCTAATACAGCATAAAGCCACTCTGGGAAACTAAGCTGTGCCAACCTCCAAAATGAAGGTGACTCCTTGTGTTGAGCATCCTTAGACGCCTTACCATTTGCAGTAGTGTCATCTGGAGAACTAAGAGGACGACTAAACGTCTGCGAATGGGAACGCTCGTTTTTAGGATCTGATGTCAAAAGGGGTGAAACAGGGGACTCTGGCTCTGAGCCGTTTGATTTTTGTCGGGGACACTGAACGTCAATTTTTGGAAGGTCTGGTAACCTCATCTCGAAACTATCTTGCCTTTTGATAGTTGGCTCTTTATCAGCATCGTCCAGAGGCAAGCCATTTTCCCCCATTTTCTCAGGTGCAGGGCTATGATCTTTAGGTGATTCTTCAGTATCAAAACACAGTTCCTGGGGACGGAACACACCATTACCTCTTTGAAGAGATGGAGACTTGATCATTTTGGGTGATGATGGTTCTTGGACGCCACAGCCAGCTGAAGAGTCTCTCTCGACCTGAAACACCGCAGACTCCTTGTAGTTCCTAACTGGCATCCTGGACCAACATAAGAGTTTTTTCAACAAATAATCACCAAAAAATCCACACCTGGAGATCATTACAACAGAAAACAAATGCCCAAACATACATTCTGCCACATGACTACTACACGAGTTAATGGTTAAGTTCGAAGCTATCATACCTTCTTGGAAGCTTTGTTGCTTCTTCACACTTCAGAAGCTCAGCATACAGCCCACCAAGATTTATCAATTCATCGTGTGTACCCATTTCAACGAGCTGACCCTCCTCCATCACGGCAATATAGTCAGCATTTTTTATCAAACTTAATCGTCGGGCTATTATTATGGTTGATCGTCCCAACATCAGAAGATCAAGCGCTTCCTGCACAATTCTTTCAGCTTCGAA